AGGCGACAATGTTTAAATCTCAATAAAAAAATTCCTGTATGATTACGTGCGAGTTCGTTAGGCTACTTGCGTGATGGTATTGCGTGCGCACGTTCAAATTTTCCCGCCAAGAATTGTTTCCGGTGGCAACACTTCGAGAATAGCTATATTTACTACTGTTAGAAAGCTTTATCATTCCGCTTTCTTAAGACTGCTTATTTGTCAAATTTGAGCTGGAAAAGAGCGAGTAATGTTATTTTTAGTAAGTGTGTTTCAATTTAAAATTTGAGATAGCTTAAATTTTATTAAAAATTTAACTTTAGTTGGTTACAATCATTCAACGTGGCCACCATTTCTCAGCACACACAAATCACTTCGACGTTGCATTTCTCGTGCAACTCTTCTTATAAGTTCAGGATTACCACGTAAAGCATCTGCTTCAAGCTGTATCTTCCTTCTCAGATCGTTGATATCTTGTGGTGGCGTGCGGTAAACTTTATCCTTAAGATATCCCCAAAGAAAGTAGTCGCATGGTGTTAAATCTGGCGATCGTGGTGGCCATTCAACGGGAAGATGTAAGGCAATCACACGCCTTTCAAAGACTTCTAACAATCTGTTACGTACAGCAATCAGTTGATGAGCAGGGGCTCCATCTTGTGCCCACCAAAGTCTTAGAAAATGACCATCTTGAAATTGGTGATTGAAATTTTCAATCATTTGCGGGATAATGTTTTCGTTCAACATATTGAGATATGCATTCCCGTCAACATTTCCATAAAAAAAGAATGGTCCAAGGACTGAACCATTTCCGCAAATGCCCATCCAGACTGTTACTTTCTCCCTTGCATCGCGTCTGTAATAATGAAAGTCTGCAGGTGGTTCGCCTCTGGGAGCGTACTGGCGGACATTGTGAGAATTAACTTCACCATTCATGCAAAATCCGGCCTCGTCCCCAATAACGAAATTTGCTAAGAATCGAGGGTTTCGTAGCTGTTGGTTGAACCATCGGCAGAATTGAAGTCGCCTCGGATAATCATTGTCTTTTAACTCGTGTCGAACGTTTATTTGATAAGGATGCCATCTTAAGTCCAGACGCGTGATTCGGTTAAATGTTGCCGCCGGAAGACCGAGTCCGTTTCTTCTTGAACTCACATGTGGGTTGTTTGCAAGCTGTTGAGCGACTGCGGCAATATTTTCTTCGGATCTTCCAGTTTTTATTCTACCCGAATTTCCTTTGTTTCGATTAAGACTCGTGCCGTGCTGCCGGTATTTACGTACATTTGACGCCAAACGGTCGTCGAATTTGGGACGTGTCTACCCGGGAAAGCTATTCGAAACAATCTTAAAACTTCCTGAATGCTTTTTGTTACAAAGTAATTTTCAACAATAAAGGTTCTTTCTGCTGTAGTGAGCTGTGGCATGATGCCTGAGACCTTTAAATTATTTACCGAAAACATTTCGAACAAAATATTCGCATGCAATTCGATAACATACCCTTGGGAATTAAGAACGGCGAATTCGAAGCATCTAAAAATGACCGCTTGCAGTAAATCACTTATTTTGAAGCTATAAATGGCCTAAAATTCACAATCGACCACTTATTGAGTAGAAAAAAGATATGGCTAAAACATGAACTAAAAGTTAAGACATGGAAATCTATATTATTTTTGTTATAAAGCCTTAAACTTGGATTGCGGTGTTTTTGATACACTCTGTATAGATACACTCTGTATATATATATATATATATATATATATATATATATATATATATATATATATATATATATATATATATATATATATATATATATATATATATATATATATATATATATATATATATATATATATATATATATATATATATATATATCAGGGCGTATATCAAAATTTAAGTTAGATAATACTAAATGCAATGCACAGGGTTTAGGTGTAATAGCTTTTATTGTTTTTAAGTTAAAATAAGTCCAACAGGGCAACTGTTTTTGCGCCACCCGGTATACACGAAGAAATTTATTATTTTGTTATTAGTAATTTCAATCAGTACCAGAGCCGGGATTGTACGAAGCCGGATGGCGCTAGCCACTGCCATCGCCATTGGAACCGTCGTAATTGTTTAAAGTTATTTCAGTAGGTTATTCTTTGCATGCATGCATGCATGCATGCAAGATCATAAATGCAGGGGCAGCGGCCCGCGGTTCTTTCCAGCCCGTTAAGTTTCAGCTTAAACGGTGGAGAAGTCGAAAATAGACACCAAGTTATATAATTTTATACAGTAGGTTTATTGCATGACTATAATTATAAAGAAAGTTTGTTGAACAATGTTTGCAACTACCGGGTGTCCCAAAAAAAAGTACTCCGGTTTGATTCGTAATAACTTCGAAACAAGTAAAGCTTTTAAAGAGAAATAACTTGCATCAAATAGAGGAAGCCCTAACTTAAATTTTGATATATTACATTTGTATTTCACTTAAAAATTCGCGGAGATATTAATGTTTAAAATCGGGAGCATATTTCTGGATGTGTCTGAAATATGCAAAAAAACTGGGTATCAAATATTAATCAAGATTTGCCCGACTGAAACATGCACTATTACCAGTAAATAAATGACACTTGACAAATTGTTTATTATGAAACAAAGTATACACCGATTCGAAAAAGAGTTGTCAAGTCTGGAGGACTGTGGCGAGTTACACGAAAACGAGGCTAGTCAGGTTGTTGTTTTTTTTAGTCAGGAAATTTACAAAATAATACTAAAAATTATACAAAGTTATATAAAAGGTTTTCATGGAAAAATTGTTGTTTAAAGTTGCATGCCATCGCACTGTTGTGTACCTCTTTGTTCTCAGCAAGGATACCGACTCTCAAATGGTGAAAAGGTTTCATATTTCAACTTTCCAAAAGATAAAACTGCACGTAAACAATGGATTCATGCAATAAGGCGCGACGAAGGGAACTGTTTTAAAATCCATGACAAGACAAAGGTTTGTTCTCTACATTTTAAGCCTGACGACTTAAAGAAATCTTTAAATGGAAGAATATTTGTAAAGGAAGGCAATATTCCTTCAAAGTTTGAGTGGAAGCTAGAATCGCCGAAGAGACGAAAAGCACCAGCAGTCCGACAGCCACTAGTCAAGAACACAACATGCAACAATGTGCCAAGTACTTCTTCACATGCAGATTTCACAGTCAGTAAAGTCAATGACAACGAGGAATTATTGAAGGAAGAGGTGACAGACTTAAAACGCGTACAGGAAGTATTGGAACGAACTATTAAACACACTGAAGATAGCCTTCGCGATGCAAAAGAAACAATCTCTAACCTTCAACAAGAAAACTGTGATCTTAAAAAGAGTATTTGTTTAATTCAGGAAGAAAGCGTTCAGAACAGTGGACACATGAAAAAACAGATCGAAATTCTGAAGAAACAGAGCGAAATTATTGAACCATTGTTGAATTTGAACAGTCTAACGTCCGACCAAGATATTGCTTTCTACACAGGATTTCCCAACTATGATATATTTATAGCACTTTTTAATTACCTTAACCCTGGAACACATGGGGAAAATATAAGGTATGTGAGGGAAAAACCAAATGATTTTTATGTTGCCATCGACGATAGTGAACCAGAGAAGGAAAATGGTGAGAGAAAGAAGGGAAGGCCAAAGAAGCTTAAACCAATTGAAGAATATTTTATGGTGTTGTGTAGGTTACGCAGAGGTTTTTCAATACAGCATTTATCACACTTGTTCGGTGTCGCATCATCCAGTGTAAGCAGAAGTTTGACAGCCTGGATCAACTTTATGTACTTAAAGTTTGGTCAAATTAACCTCTGTCCATCGAAGCAACTTGTGCAAGACACTATGCCTGATGTATTTAAAGAAAAATATCCAAACACTCGTGTCATAATAGACTGTACCGAAATAAGATGTGAGATGCCGGGCAGTTTATTATTGAATGGTGAACTGTTCAGTTCTTATAAGAACCACACAACGCTTAAGGGATTGATAGGGATAGCACCAAGTGGAGCCATTACTTTTATAAGCCAGCTATACACAGGGTCTATATCTGACCGGGAGATCGTGATTCGAAGTGGTTTCCTTGACCAAGCTTTTGTTGATGGTGATACAGTCATGGCTGATAAAGGATTCACCATACAAGATCTTCTACCATTGGGGACAACTCTGAATATACCACCATTCCTTGGTCAGAATTCCCAAATGGGTGCTGAAGATGTTATCCGCACACAGCAAATTGCTAGTGTGCGAATTCATGTTGAAAGGGCTATAAATCGCATTAAAAACTACAAGATTTGGAGTGGGGTAGTACCCCTTAGCTCATTTGGACTTGTGAATCAAATGTGGTCCATATGTGCATTTCTGTGCAATGCACAAGACAAACTTATCAGCATATAATTTCTGAAATTATGAGAACTGTATTTGTGTGGAAATATTCAGGTAAATTAATCAATTTGTTATATATTATTATGAATTTAATAATTATTATTTATAAATATATTATTTATTGAGAATAATTTATGAATTTATAAAATATTTTGAGTGTAAATATAATTAAATGATTACTGTAAATTTAAAATGCAAATGAATCAAAGTTATGAATGTAATAATGCTATTGAAATTAAATGAAATAAATGGTCTACATTTAAAAATTATTTGTGTTGCATGGATTACAAATAACATTAGTGCACATACACTGTACTTAAAGACACAGTAGCACCTTTTGAGCAATCTGTTTTAGTTACCTGCCAACAAGGTTTAATTGAATTAACTTATTGTTAATGTTCAAATTGAAAATTGACTAAATGTAGACAACAAAAATGCTTCCTAAAACACATTTCTCAAAAGGAACTACTGTGCCTTTACGTACTATGTCAAACAAAAGACCAGCACTCGCAAAGCTATAAGCTATTGTGCATTGTATTCAGTAGTTGCCAAATTGATGAAATGATCAAAGTAATATGACTGCAACATATTTCTCATATTTATCCAGTACTGGTGATCATTTAATTCTCTCGATGCTGAGTCCCTTGTCAGTATATATAACAAAATCACACCACTTTGCTTGTGTTACTCCTAGTTGACCTTGTATCTGAGCATAGTAATCATGGTCATGCTTGAGTTGTGGTATTCCAGCAACTTCATGTGAACAAAACTTTGGATCTGAACAGGCATCTAAAGGAGTTACCCTGTATTTTGTCTCAGGGCATTTTACCTCGACAAGACCATAGGGTTCACTGCATCCTGCATCAATAACTTTCCCATCTGGAGAAGCTCCAAGGAAAGGTGCATCTTTGCATACAACAAACCCTGATTTGAATAACACTACAGGTTTTCCAATTGCATGCATATATTTCTGGTATTGTTGCAATGCAGTTGACTCATACTTGTTGCCATGGGCTGTGTACTTTGAATTAAAGGGCTTTGGATTGAGCAAGTTATTTGCAAGAGAATCATGATTTCTTTTCCTTTTAGTGATAAG